ACAGGATCATGGGAGAAGTTCCATTGGTCCAGAAGCATCCACTGAAGGAAACATATGTGAGCTCGACCTAAGAGAATGAAAGCTTCCAAGGAAGCCCACATCTCCAAAACAGAGAGAATCCCTTGTGCAGTGAGAAAAGAAAGTAGAGCTATTGAGACTGCCCACTCCACATCCCTGAGCCAAAGTGGAGAAGGCTTTCTTTAATTCCGATGTAGATGGGAATTAAATAAAAACCCCAAATGAATAAGACATTGAGTGGGGCTAAGAATGGACTTCTCCAACTGGGTCAGAAAACCCCAACCCAATTAGCATCTTGAAGAAGTAAAGTAAGCAGGCATGATTGACCGACTGGGCATGAGAAGAGGTGAGCAGGAGCTAATCATCCATGAAAAGGAGAGTCTGAGAACTGAATGAATGAAAATGACTGACTAAAGAGTGTACCACTCGACAAAACACATGGAGAAAAAGGACCGATTGGCAGCACCCCAAAATGGAAGACAAGTCCCTTGTGGACAAACCATACAAAACTACATGACACTGGAGCAGTTGGAATATGAAGAAAGGAATCTGTCCCATCCATCAGGTCATCCAGAGTCCCAGGGAAAAAAAACCTGAAGGGAGAGGTAGGACTCCATGGTGAAAGAAGGTGGCTCCAGATAAGTGTTTAACCAAAACAGGTCCCTTGTTGACAAACCAAAGAAAATTACATGACACTGGAGCAGTTGGAATATGAAGATAGGCATCCATCACGTCGATCTCATAATCCAGAGTCCCAGGGAAAAAAACCTGAAGGGAGAGATAGGACTCCATGATGAAGCAAGGTGGCTCCAGATAAGTGTTTAACCAAAACAGGTCTAGGATGGGTTTCCAATCCCCCATCTTTCAATGGACAACAAATAGATGGGAGTAAAACCCAGGTTCAGTGGGTACCATTTGTTCAACAGCCCTTTTGTGTAGTAGGTTTTGAACAGACTAGGCCAGGTGATAGGAAGGTACAATCCCAAATAAAAGGGAATGAGAACTGGGAAGTGGATGGTGGGAGCAGAACTGAAGGCAGAACCTTTAAATAAAACCCGTAGAAACCATGGAACTGTCGTATAGTGTAGTCAAAAAGTTACATAAACTAAAGATACTTACATAAAGTACTTATTACTAATGAATTTACAAAACTAAGAAATTCTATCTAAAACAATAACAATAAGCAACACTTAAAAGTACAAAACCACCAAAGAAACTTTGAAGATAAAAAACACGTAAGTATCGAACTGATAAGTCCACTCAAAGAAACAATAAGACAAAGGACATAAAAGTAAAACCTACCCTGATGAACATGAGGATGAAAAGGGACCTAGTCAACATTAACAAAATTTGACTCAAATATAACCTCCAATTAGATGTGACTAGTAGTAAAGAAAATGGAACTTACAAACTAACTTAAGCAGTGAAAGTAAGTTGAAATAATGAACCAACACACCCACAAAATTGGCCAAGGTTACAATTACCCAGCTGGTTGTGCTGGTATAGATGGCATAGTACGATTGGTGGAGAGTAGTCACATGATCACTACATGTTCTGAAATGGCACAAAACTGATGGGGTATAAAGACTTTGCACTGTAGCAAATTTCTTTTGCAATGCTTAGAGGGCAGACTAGAATTGAGACAGCTTTGGGTGAGATGAGGTAGTATCATTCTGGAAGCAAAAGAACCTCATGTGCAAGATGTAAAAGAAAAGCATAAACTTTGATGACAAGACATTCCATTGTTTGTGAGTGAAGTGGTGAAGGCTGAGCCTGATTAAGCTAGAAGTTGAAGAACACACACAGATGTATCAAATATAGGATGAGCATGAGATAGACTTTGAAAGCTTGAGAAGCTAGCCACGCCAAACAGCTTCCTGCAGAAGAATGCAGGTGTGAAAGAATAGTTGCTCTCTAGAATGGGTAAGGAAAAGCCAATTGCGCATGTATTAATGTAAACAAGGTGAGCAAATGCCTCCATGACTCAAGTAAAGACCTCAAGAGTAGGTGCAATGCTAAAAGGAAGAGCATGAAACTGGAAGACATGGTCCTGATGAATAAAACAAAGAAAACATCTGGAGGATGGGGCATTTAAATGTGTTAAAAGGTGTCTGAAACATCAAACAATGTTATCCACAATTTGGGTGAAAAGTATCACCAGAAGAAAAGAAATCCTCATTATGGAACCAAGGGATGATAAGAAACCAGTTGAGAGATGACAGTTTGATAACCAGATCCCAGTCTCCAATCTTATTGGGCATCATAAAAAGATGAAACTAATAACCAATTGTAAGGGTAAATACCCTCTCAATGGCATACTCGGCAAAGAGGTCTGAGACCACATCCTCAAAACACTGAATATAAAGGGAAACAGAGGAAAAAGATAAAGATAATTAGAGATATAGATTATGGGTGAGAACCTGAAGAACTCATCTGTCAGACAAAATTGGAGATCAAAGGCTGACAAAAAGAGAAAAATGGGTCCACACATGGCCAGACCTAAGAGAATAGTCACTGAATAGATGAGCAATGACCCTGATAACACCAAGTGTGAGGATGGGAAGTAGAAAAAGGATGAGAAGTTGGAATTTAAAGGGGAAATGTTGATTCAGCTAGCCTAGGAATAGGAGCAGAATGGAGAAATTGAGAAAAACGAGAAATCATTGTAAACAATGGGAAATAATGTCAGGCCACCTCAGCTTGGATCTTCAGTAAGTCAGGAACATTCCTAAAGTCCTTAGGGCAAAGAAATGGAACTTGACAAAGATCACAGAGATAAGTGTGAGGGAGGCATACATTAGCTAAGAGTGCATCTCCTCCAAACAAGTCTGAGTTAGGAAAGATAGAGCAGAAAAAGGAATACAGGCAAATGTGGTGAAAAGAAAAGAACAGATCTCTCCAGAAAACCCCTCCTGAGATATATAGTGAAGTAAGGAAAGGCAATGCAAGAAGGTAATAAATAAGAGAAAAAGGCACAAAAATTGGGCACTAGATAGAGATATAATAGTTAATAGGCCACTCTCAAATAAGTAAAAGACATTCCAGTAGCCACAATAGGCACAGATCCCATGTTATGAACATAATCACTATCATTAAACAAAGCAAAATTACTAATATTTGAGAATTCATGAAGAAGTTTTTCTTTTTATTTAGTTTTAAAAGAGACCAGCAAGCTATCACAAACCTCACGTAATTTATTAATAATCTTAAAAACACATCCATTTTAGATACTGCTGAAGAAAAGAATGAAGTTATTTTGAGCACAAGTGCTTAGGGGGAGTTACTGCACAAGGAAGTTGTGTTGCCCTCCTACTAGTGGAGGGCTATCAGTGCATGATAATGTCATCATGCAATAACACATTTCATGTTAAATATGATTTTTAAATGGATGTTAGCTCAAGGTTAGTGGCATACAAGTCTTATAGGCATATGCATTATGGATTAAGCTATTCTGCATGTAGTTCTAGTCTCAGAAAAAAGGAGAAATTTTACATTACAGAAATAATTCTACTGAGATTTAGAAAAAAACAACAAATATTTTATTGGAAATATTCAGATTTAATTTTCAAAATAAAACACCAAAGACACAAAAATTCTTAATATTAAGAGTGCTCCAGCCCATATTCATAGTGTTTTATGTTCCAAATCTAAATATAGAATACTTTAGCTTGACTACTAAAATAAACATTTAAAAAAGCTAGGAGGCATCAAAGAAACACAAATTATTAATATAACACAAATGAAATTTAAATTATTTTGATCTACATTACAATGGGACTAATTTTGTAAATTACTTTGCTACTAAGTTTTGCATATCTTTGGTGAGATGAAATGTTTTGAAAAAGATGCTATGCTGAAAAAGTATGAATATACCTGAACATAAATCTTGTTGGTAAGAGTGGTGTGGATTCTATCCCAGTGAGTTTCCAAGCCATCTTCACAAAGAAACTTCTGACCACAGACAGGACAAGTCCATTCTCTTTCATTTGAATTTGCTTCATCAGGCCACCACAACACATCCCTTTCACTGTGAAATGGACAATCCAAAGGTAGAGGAACTCGATATTTTTCAAGAATTGGTAAGATTTTCTGGAAAATAATAGAAGCAAAATAAAATAACAAATCAGAACTGATAGAATATATTATACATGTACATATGCTGTATGATGAGAGCAGTGTGTTATCTACAAAGTTTTGATTCAAAGTTAGTTACTTCAAAACTATTAAGATGAAATGCTACTGAATTCTACCACTATGCATTTGAAAGGTTTTACTTTTCAAATGTTCCTGAAATATTTCCGTAAAAATACTAAAATAAATGTTTATATGGTTTGGGAACCTAAACCCACACTATTCTATTTCCCTCCGAGAACTGTTAACTTTAGGAATAGTTTGCTTGAAAATGCTATATGTTTGGAAAATTGGTATTTATTTTAGTTCTTCATGGAAAAGTGTATTTGGATGCATAGTTTACATTAAAGTTAGCATTTTTTTTACACCGAAAATGCATTTCTGATAAGCATATATGTCCTCTCACACAAAATTATCTCAATCTTCTTTCTGCCCCTAAGCATTGCTAAAAAATTTTAATGCTTAGCACATGAGTCTATATACCCCACAAATTTCACCCCACTTTTGAACATGTTTATAGCATGTGACCACCCTTCACCAATAATATAGATCTATTGGCACAGCTATCTCCCTCTGATGTTCCAGCTCAATACTCACTTTCGAAAATTGGCAGAATTTAAAATGAATAACACCAACAGTGGGGAGGAAGGGTGGAAAGTGTGTGAGAGTAGTAAAGTACTTATCAGAAGTATACTTATTTCTGTATAAGAAAATATTAACTTCTGATATGGTCTTACCTGTTCTCACAAAGCTAGAATCCCACACTGAAAATGTGGAGAGGCTGTCATAGGCACCTATCAGTGAAACCAAGTGGAAAGTAACCACCTAGAAATAACTGCTGTGCTCAGAGAAGAAACTGAAGTGCATATGTGAAGCACCACACTACAGGTATGCTCTTCGCTACATAAGAAGGAAATGAACTTAACACAGCTGGAGAAAAAGGATGTGCACAAGTGTAATTGATTCTGAGAGGTGTAATCCACAGTAAAAAACAATGCCAGTTCAAACTGTCCTCCATTACACAAACCAGACTGGAAAACAGCTGGCTCCCGTAGATAAATAGCCACTCTATGAAACAAAAACTGAAATCAAACTTGATACTCATATGTGGAGAAACAGCAAATCAAGGGATACTCGCCAAAATATAACAATAGAGAAAACAACTAGCCATGGCTAAGTATCCATCTAACCTCAACCAGACAGACGAGATTCTACAACCTGTCCATAGAATTAGGAGGTTGAAGATCACCCAGATAAAAATGAAATTAGAGTAACATGAACATTGTGACTAGGACATTTGGATGGTGTGATATACATACACCGACCCCAATCATAAGTAAACAGTGTCATACAACAAGCAACCGGAATTATGAAGAGAAAGTTAGCATTCATCCAAAACCATACAAACTCCCAAAATCACTGAGGTGCAAGAAGTACAACAAACCGAACCTGGCATTACGGGGTTGTGTCCTTGCTTCAACTCATCCATAAGAACAAGGCAATGCCTGCAGTCAGTATTAAGAGCAGAAATCATAATTCACCCAACCA